GAAAATGTACTGTCATATGGATATATACAATGGAGTTTATTCAGCCATAAAGAAAAATGTAATTTTGCCATTTGCAGGAAAATGCATTGATCTGGAGATATTATGTGGAGCAAAATAAGATTTAGAAACATGAATATTACATATTCTCCCCTGGAATGCAAAAACATGACAATAAAGTATAAGGGAGACTATTATTAAACAGGAGGAAGGGAATAAGGGGAGATGGTGTAAGGGTGAGAAATAAGGAGGATGAATATAATTGAATATATTATACCATTGGATCTCCCAAATATGTGCATCTGCTAAAATGAAACCCAGTAATCTGTGTAACCAATATATACTAATAAAAAAGGTGTGCAAAGAGAATGTCAAAAATAGGAGAAAATATCCAATGACTTTTACACTTTTCCATCCTTTGGAGTTAATCGGTAGAAAAATTATATACTACCAGAAGTGGGAGAGAACATAGGGAAACAGGAAACAAATCCTTTCAATAAAGAATACATATTATGATTTTATTAAAAGTACAGCCATCACTTGATATCCCTGGGGAGTTGGTTCCAGGCCCACCTCCTAGACCAAAATCCACGCATGCTCAATTTCCTTATGGGTCATTGTATTTGTATACAATCTGTGCACATCCCCTTGTGCACTTTATTTTTTATTTTATTAGAGCATGTTAGTAATACAGACTGGTGAGGTTCATTTTGACAAACTGGTACATGCATTTAACATATGGTGATCACTTTGAATCCCGTTGCTGCCTCTTCCTTTGCTCTCCCCCTAATTTCCTTCCCCTTCTGTACAACCTACCTTCCTTCCTACACACTTTGAATCATGTCTACATTATGCTACATCATGGGTATCACCCAGTATTGTTTAAAGAATAATTACAAGAAAAATGTGTATATATGTTCAGTAAAGACTCAGGTTTTTTACCAAATTTTTTTTGATTTGACATTGGCTGAATCTTGTCTCTGGAATCTGCAGATATAGAGGGCTGCCTGTCCTCTAGAATGCTGGTAGCAATAGCTCAGAGAGATTTCAGCTTTTCTCCAATTTGCCTTCTATCATCCTACCATCAAGAAAAATACAGAAAAATATTTTGCCTACTTTTTTTGTGAAATTATATATCAACTCTGTGATAAAGAATTGTGTGCTTGACTTTTTATTAAATTGGGGTTAAGATTTTTAACTTCTGCATTAGTAAAGCTTAAAGGTATTATATTTAGGCAAAGAAAGATTATTTGTATATTAAAGAGACCATGGGGAAAAAGTGAATAATCATAGACTGAGTAAAGCTGAAATGAGACTAATTAAAGCAGGTTAATTTTATTTTTAACTAATTAATTTTTGGTTTATTTCTGGCATAAAATTAAAACTACTTTAAAAAGGTTATATTTTAGTAATGAATTTTGTAGAAAGATGTAAATGAGTCAGACTAATTTTGTAAATAAAAGCGGTAGAATATTATTCAACAGGAAATTAAGTATTTGTATTTATAAGTAATTTTGTTTTAAATGCTGTATTATTTCTATTCTATAAACTTGTATATTGACATTTCTGTCTGGTGCATTTTCCTGTTGACATTTTTGAAGTTCCCGTAGCTCCTGATGATAGGTAAAGTGGTTTGGTTTATGTCTCTAGGGTTTCACAAAATGAACCCTGCAGAATAAGTGCTTATAAAAAAAAAAAATAAGTGCTTAGAATGTCTGTCTCTTTTGAATCCTAAGTGATTTATCTATCTATACAACTTGGACTTCTCATGCCTTATTCTTACATTCTTGAAAGATAATTGAATTTTTTGAATGTATTTAGGTAGTGGTTAATTCCAAAGGAGAAATTACAGAAGCCACTTCTCATGCTTGGCAGGTATATGTCAGTTTCTGAAATTTGTTTCCCTAGCACTGAAATGCTCTCTTATTTTGATTGAGTACTTCTTTGTGGTCCTAATTTCCCCCTTGATATTTGGTGCCTTTGCCTGTAAGACCTTGGTAGAATGTAAGCCTGAAAAATCCCCATTTCATTTTTTCAGACTCTGAACTTCCATTCGTCATCTTTGATTGCTGAAGAACCGGTTTGAGGGAAAGGGTAAAAATAAATTAATCTTTAAATTCCGGGTGGTGAAATCCCCAAAGGTGTCATCAGCTTTCTTCTGTTTTATAATACATTTGATTTCTAGAGTGGAGATAAGTTAAAAGGGAGTTTTAAAGCATTTTCTTTTAGAATATTTTCATGATGAGTAACATTAATAGATACTCCAAAGGAAAATAATTAAGGGACTATAATACCTTTTCTTCATTTGTTTTACAATGCAGTGATTCTCACATGACCCATTTTAGTCAAGTTGACTAAGAAGAATTGGGAAAGAGATAAGGGTAATAAATGTGCTTGTTCTCCTGGTAGCATTGGCAAGAGGCTTAAAATACAGGTCATCTAACTCCCAGTACAGGGCTCTTTCCACTAGAACATGCTGTTAGTCTCCACAATTTTCAGGAACACTCTCTGACTAGACAACATCGTGTCCTTCTATCTGCAGTGTTCAAATTCTGTGCAGCATTATGACTGCCAGAGAAAATGGTGTGCTTGCTCAGTACACACTTATTATAGTATTTTATGAACTGTTTGTTTCATAAAGTTTATATGGTATGTACAGTAAAAGTGAACATTCATAGTTTTTTAGACATGTAATTTTTAACCATCTAATTTGATTTGAGGAAGCAAGTACACTACCATAACCAAAGGAGAATAAACTACTTCTCTGGGAGTAGTCAGAGGGTTTAAGATGTTATTTACATATAATACTTATTTGGGCTACTATCTTCAGAGAACTGACTTTGGAAAGTGTTTTAATGTGCATGTTTTTATTTCGGAAAAGGAAATGTTTCATAAAAACACAGTTTGAGAATTCTGAGTGAATCTTAATAATTGGAGTAAACTTTTATTACTGAGGGTTTAATACATGCACATTTTTAAAAAATTACCATTCAGCAGTGTATTATATAAACTGATGGTTTTTTCTAATATTGCTAGATATTTTCCTTTAAAAATCTGAGCTATAACCATGTAATGAGAATGTCTAGGGGTTTTTAAAATTCAAAGATTCAATTTCAAGGAACACGTAAACACATCTTCATTGTAAATAATCTAAATATTATAGAAAGAAACTCAAGTTCCCTAGACAGGCTTCCAAATTCTGGTCTCTCCTCTGGGGTAACCCTGTTTTAACATTGGTGAAGGTTGTTTCCATTAGTTTTTAAACACTTTTAAATATGTACACATATGTAGAGAACTATCATGAAAATACATGACTTAATGTCATATTTATTGATCTATAAGTTACAGCTTGCCCCCAAGTCTTGGCATTCTTCCCAAGCCAAGATATAGAGATCTCCTTCATTCTTTAAAATACTTTTGCATAACATTTCATAAAACCATAATTCATTTTATTGTTTCCCTAATACTGGCCATATATGAGAATATACTAGCCATAAAAGGTAAACATTAATATTGTTTCTTTTCTTTTTTGCTGTTAAAGCAATATTATATAACTTCCAAAGTATAAAATGTAACACTATTGTATGCCATAATTTATAGTATAGGTGCATTTGACATATACAGATTGCTCATTATATATATATATACACACACACACACACACACACACACACACACGTCATGTTTCAAACTTTTCATTGTGTAAGAATTTTAGGTTTGTACAAAGTTGTAGAAACAATGCAACCTACCTTTTCCCAATAGTAACCCTCAAAGAAGACTCAGTTATAGGGATATAGAAAACTAAAAAAGAGGAAAAGGAGATTGTTAATTTCAGGCAAAACAAATTGTAACCAAAAATAAATGCAATCATGGCATAATAATGTGGCTTACCAGTGAAGAATAATGTAAATACTGAGTATAACTTAATAAAAAGGTTGATTTAACTTTATTGGGAAGATGAGAGGATGAAAAGTGTTAGGTTACAGGTGTAAGTGTACAGTTATGTACAGGAGGGTCAATTTTTATTAGCTGTCAACGCTAACATCTATTTTCCTTTCCATCAAAGTAGCAGAACCTTAAATATAGCTGGGGGCTGATCTCAGTTAAAGGGCTGCATCCTTCTCTTGCAGCTAGGTTTAGTCACATGTTTAAATCCAGCGGAAGGATCTAGTGGTACTCAGAGAAGACTGACTTAAAAGGGAAGGAACAGGCTATTCTGCTTCTGCTGCCATCTAGACTGGTACTGTAATGATTAGAGCTTCTGCCAGCACGCACTGTGAGAGTAATGTACGCATACTAAAGATGGTAGGCCAGAGAGCTGCGAGGGTCTTGGGGTCCTGATAACATTATAAACATGATAAAGCTGTCATATCAGCGTCGGACTGGCTACCAGTGTATTTGTTTTTATGTGAGATAGGGTGTGTGTTAGGTCTGTGTAGCAGAACCAGATCTTCCCTGATTATTGATTCACTAGATAACATCTAAAATGAAATATTAAAAAATAGAAGTATAAACAAGTTATTTAGTAAGATGGAGATAAATAGTAGAAGAAATAGTAGAAAATGGAATGTTGTGGCCTTTGGCAGAGGAAATTGGAGTAAAGAGAAGTGATTACTATTTTTTCTTGTAATTCAGTATTAGTTGACATTTTAAATTAAGTATATCTTTAATTAAAATTATACTCATATTCGCTTGTCTTGTAATCAATATTTTCATATACATCCTCGTTATAAAAATTTGAGCAATAAAAAAGACTAGAGAATAAAAGTTCTGCTTCCCTTCAGTATTCTTTACCCTTTTCCCACACATATGACTTCCACTCTCCTCCCTAGATATAATGGCTATTTGGTGTGTTTCCCTCCATAGTTTTTTTCTATACATTTATATTAGCATATATAAAAGTGTATAGTTTTCTTCTCATTTCCATTATAGTATACTTATTTCACTTTAAAATATTATTCATTACTGAAGCTTATAAGAGATGTTGTTTGTCTACATTTTAGAATTCAGGATGCAAGCATGCAGTTAAAAACCCAAGAAAGTGAGTTTCAGAGAGTACAGAAAGAACTGAGTTGTTTGCAACATGAGTTAAAAATTAAACACAGAAAATCACAAATCTTCAGGTAAGGTTATCCTTAAAGAATTGAAAAACATAGTGATTGAAAAGATACATTCCATACTAAATTCATAAATATTCAAACACATTTTAGTAATATGATTTCTGTATCTGGTAGATTAGGAAAATGGAAATCACTTTTATAAACTTTATATCAATGATAGTTTTACTTGTAAAATTTAAATCGCACAAACTTCTTGTTCTGTTAACACCTTGTTTGTCCTATTTTATAATAACATTTAAAATGAAAGCACAGTAGCTAGTCCATTTTTCTCTTGGTCAGCATTTCCAGTCATATTTGATCTCCAGAGTTCAATGATGTAAAATAGTAGAATAGGGGAACTTTCTAAATGATAATAATAGCCTTTTCCCTAAAATGAAATATTAAAAAGAGAAGTATAAAGAAGTGATTTAGTAATATGAAGATCAATAGTAGAAGAAATAGGAGAAATGGAATGTTGTTGGAGATTTAGAAATCTCCAACATAAATGATGTGAATTCTACATTTATGTCATCTTTGGCACTATAATAACTAAAGATAAAATCCCATGCTCTGAAGAAACCGGGGAGTACATTTTTTTGTCAAAAATAGCATTGTTATATTGAGGATGTTTATGAGAAAGAATGATTTTTTCTCATAAACATTTTTTATGTTTATGGATTTGAGTAACTTCTAGCTCTTAGAAAAGATAATCAGTTAAATCAATGTGGGAATGATACAGGTCCAGAATAATAAAAAATATGCTGAGTATTTTGAATGTTAGGGTTTTGTTTTAATCAAATTATTTACAGAAACATTCTGTTAAAAAATTCTCTAGACTAATGAAATTTTTATCCATTCTCTAGTGATAATCTACAGGCCATCTTCCCTTCATAAATGCGTCACACATAACTGATGCTAAGTGATTTTAAATGAACAAAGGAATGAGTGAAACCTAAAACAGATGACCATTTTTTATTGTCAGAAATCCTTTTGGCCCTTGGCTAGGAACCTGGTAGTGAACCAGCAGGATGATACTGCCCAGGTTGCCCCAACTGTTATATTTCAGTCAGGACCATGAGTATTAGTTCTGGTCTCCTATAATAGCTTTGGCCTAGGTCTGCTAAGGGAAGGCCAAGCTGTTTTATCAATCAGTGCGATCGTGAATGTGAGATTGACTACATTTTTGAAGTTACACCGGGAGTAAATCACATAAATAGTGTTGCTTCAGGATATTATGGAACTGAGACAGTTGGTCTTCATTATTTGCATTTTTGCATGTTATTTGCAGTATTTAAATTCTTAAAGAAATTTACGCATATATGTTTAGACTTTTTTGTTCTGTATTTTGATTTTAAATTGTATATTACTGTTTATTAATGTACTTGTGGTGCGAGGGGTTGAACCCAGTGCCTTGTACGTGCTAGGCATGCATACTGCTTCTGAGCTAGTGCTGTACTTTTAAACTGCTTATTTTGTTCACCTTTTCCAAAGATCTGTGATTTTTGTTTATTTTTTGACTAAAAAGTCACAAATTCAGAGTTTGGAATTTGACATGACATATAAAGAAATAGTACATGCTAAAAATAACTTTGGAGTAACCAACTAGACATTTAGACCAGATTAAAGTGTATGATAGAGAATGAAAATAACTATTTTTTCATTTTTCCTTTTACTAATAGACACTTAGGAAAAGGAATACTGATAAAAATAAAATAAAATCAAACCAAAGGCTGTAGATTCCAGAGACTTCTTGTATCACTAGAAGCTGATTTAAGCTAGTTTATTGATTTTTTGAAAATGTCTATCAGAATATGAAACTTAATGAGTCCTTCAGATAAAGAAAAGGAGCTATAGTCTTTCTTAAGCAGGTAAAGGAAAGAAGCATGAACATTCTCTCCTCAGATGTAATCATTTTTAAAAACTGGGCCCCAAACGAACTTGGAGTAGATCAGTGATCTGCGATTTGGGTCACATCGCTCTCTGTAGGTTATTCTCACTGGGCTTAATCACTTAGCCTCCAGCAAAGTGTTCTTCATGCTCTGCGTTTTTCCTGACATCATTTCCAACATTTCTTTTGCATGAGACCGATGGGGGAGTATGTGCGGTATGCCTCAGTTGGCTTAGCATACACACTGTTCGGAACAGATTGTCTTTTGAAAATGAAAATGAACTATAGAAAGTCTATAAAGTAGATACTAAAAGTCAGTATGGAAGATAAGTCCTGTATACATCATATAAACTTGTATAGATCCAATTCTAAATTAGATTGTATTCATCGTTTACTTTCAGAGGACTCATTATGAATCTTCCATAAGATTTTTGAAATACGAAGTCCTTAGACTTGTCGGGCGTGGTGGTGCGTGGCTGTAATCACAGCACTCGGAAGGCCCAGGCAGGAGGATCATAGCCAGACCCTGTCTCTAAAAAAAACAAAAACAAAAACAAAAACAAAACTTAGACTCTTAATTTTTCTTACTTGAAATCTTGACCCTTTCATTTCTAATATGTTCAAAGCTAGTTTCAAAAATCTTTCCTCTTAGCTCTCTTTCACTTTATTGTTTTAGCCTTATTGAAGCTTCTGGTATTTTTTCTTATTTTCCCTATATCCTGTAGATTTATTTATTTTTTCTAACTTTGATCCTTTAGCTTATCACCCTACATCTTTTTAAAAACAGCTTCATTGAGATATAATTTACGTACCACAAAATCCACCCCAGTTAAGTGGACAATTTAATGATTTTTAATAAGCCTACAGAGTTGTGCAAGTTACCAATATTAGAACATTTGAGTCACTCTCCAAACGACGTGGCATTTATTATCAGCCTTTATTCTTGCCTCCTGTCCATTCTATATGACCATTAATTTTTCTGTTTCAATAGAATTATATTTTTCTACCTATTTCAGATATATAGACTCATACAATATGTGATCTTGTAGATGAATTCTTTCACTAATAATGTTTATGAGGTTTATCTTTGTTGTGGCATTTACCAACATTTCATCCCTTTTTATTGCTAAATAATGTTTCATTGTATGGGTATACCACATTTATTTACCAGTTTACCCGTGGTTAGACATTTGGATTGTTTTCATGTGGTGAAGCTTTTGAATGATGCTACTGTAAACAATCACACATTTTTACTATATTATGTGGTTAATTAATATTTAGCTTTTAAGAAATTGCCAAACTGTTTTCAAAAGTGACTATGCAATTTTATATTTCCAACAATAATGAAAATTCTAGTTTCTCCAGGTTCTCATGAACACTTATTTTTTTTTTTATTATATCCTTTCTAGTGGGTGTGAAATACTATCTCCATGGCTTTGTACTGTGTTTCCTAATTGATTAATGGTGCTTACCATGATTTTATATGCTTATTAACATTTGCATATCTTATCTGATGAAATGTCTATTCAAATCTTTTGCCCTCTTTTAAATTAGTTTTTTATGAGGAGATTTTTTTAGAGTTCTTCATATATTCTGTATAAGTCATCTATATGAAATGTGATTTACAAGTATTTTCTCCTAAGCTGTGGCTTATTTTTTTTTTTTTTTTTTAGTGGTGTGTTTTGGAGAAGTTGTTATTTTTGATGAAATATAAATAATTTATAAATAATTTATCTTTTTAAATGGATTGTGCTATTTAAGAACTGCCTGGGGCTGGGGATTTAGCTCAGCGGCACAGCACCTACCTGGCAAGCGCAAGGTTGTGAGTTCGATTCTCGATACCAGCAGGGGTGCGGGAAAGAACTGCCAAAGCCAAAGTCACAAAGATTTTTTCCTCTAGTTTTTTCTAAATTTTTTAGTTTTCTTTTTTTGTTTTAGCTCTTATATTTAGGTTTACGAGTCATTTAATTTACTTTCATGTATGATATAAGAATTTACAGTTATCTTTTTTTCATGTGATACTCAATTTATCTATTGAAAAGGCTACTTTATCCCTATGGAATTGCCTTGGATCTTTTCCTAAAGTCAATTTACCAAGAATAAGAAAGATTATTTCTAGGTACTCTGTTCTGTTCCATTAATCTATACGTCTTCTCTTAACCACACTCTTTTGAATACTGTTGTTTTCAGTAAGTTTTGAAATCAAGAAATTTAAGCCCTCCAGATTCTTCTCTGTTTTAAAGATTATTTTGGTTATTCTGGGTTCCTTGCATTTCTGGATGTATTTTAGGATCAGTTTGTCAATTTTTGCAAAGTAGGCTACTGGAATTTTGATAGGTATGTGATTGCAGTTCTAATCAATTTAGGGAGAATCGCCACCTTTAAATATTTGATATTTTAATGTATGCTCATGGTTGTGTCTTTCCATAGAGAGCTTTAGTTCTCTTGGAAATGTTTTATTTTGCTTTGTTGTACTTCCTTTAGTAAATTTACTTATAAATGATTTATTCTCTTTTATGAATGAGGCTTTTTTCTAATTTTATTTTTGGGAATTGGTTGTTGATAATATATAGAAATAAAATTGCTTTTGCATGTGGATCTTTTACTTTTAACCTTCATAAACTTGTTTATTCTAATATTTGTGTGTGTGTGTGTTGTTTATGTTTTTCTGTGTAGAAGGATGTTTCTACATAGAGTTCACTAGTACTCCAAGACCTTTTACTTCTACTTGCTTAATTATATTTATCTTAAAACCCTCAGTCTTGATATCTACTTGGAGGCTGTTAGACACTAGATTCTTTGAGAATTCCTCATAGTTCTGCTTAGGCTCATTGGTACTACTCATCTCCTAGCAGCCATATTCCAGAGAAAGTTCAGGTTACCAACTCAGACAGATTCACTGTGAATTAAATGCTTAAGTTCCAGATCCTCCCACTGAAGACTTCATCCCAGAGTTCTGGGAGGGCCATTGGTAAAAGTAAATGGTTTGGTTTTAATTGTTTAAAAATTCCCTTTCCATTCCAATTTCCTCTCTGTTCCCCTTATGATGTTACTAGCCACTGGAGTAATTATAGCCTTGGGAGATCTCTCTAAGGGAAAGTTGACTTGAGAATACATCACTGTAATTGCCAGTTGGAAAGACATTTTAGAACAGTTTCAGTGAAACAAATAAAAAATTACAGACTAGAAACTTGGATGTGTATAAATCTTAAAAAAATATTGAAATAAAAGTAAACATGAGCAATGTAAACAATAGAAATGATTCTGGCATAAAAAAGCAAATTATAGTAATAATGTTTTTCAGATTGTATCAAATAGTTAAGAAAATAATACATTTTCCATAAAAGTTCTTGGATTATTTCATAATCCAATGAATAGGAGTTATTCAGATATACCATATTTGTTTCCTCCTAATTTGACAAAAATTACTGACATTAATTATACTGACATTACTTACACTGAATATAAAAGTTATAATAGTCTGCGAGTGGTGTCTTATACCTGTAATCCCATCTGCTAGAGGAGGTTCAAAAGATTGGGAGCAGTCCGTGTAATTTAGTGAGACGGTCTCAAAATGAAAAATAAGAAGGACTGTGTGATTCAGCAGTAGAGTGCTCCTAGAGTCAGTTCCCATTTCCACACAGGGAGTATTATAATATACTACTTTATGGATGACATCGAGGATAAACCAGTTCATGAGTTTTATTATTTGCAGGAAAATTTAAGATTTTTGGAGACGCCAGAATTCTGATAGTCATGCATAAAACATTTGGTAGGGATTTCCTTCAAATTTGACAACACTGAATATTTATGTGGCTTTACTAGTAATGAGCTATGAAGCCACAGGTCTTTCTACTAAAAACATGCTAAGTGAAAGGCTGTATAATTTTTATGTCCTCTCAATGTGTGGTAAAACTCTAACACGATTCTTCTTTTGTAGAAATGATTGTGGAACATGAAGGCAAAAATTGTAGGCACAAAAGTATTGTAGAACTGTTTAGAAAGTTATATTGTTTTCCTGTATTTTGTGATACTAGTGAAAGTTATCAACTTTTAAAATTTTACTTATAGTGGTTTTTCTCATTCTATAGACAATTACACACTTCTAAACCTAATTTTATTATTGCCACTTTCGTGCTTTTCAAGAGTTGTATAGACTCAGGCCTCATAAAACTGGGATCTACTCTTGGTGGATCAGCTCGAGTTTTCTGTTCCTCGCCTTTCTCCTCCCAGGGCATCTACAGCCACATCCTCTTCCCTTCTGCAAATGTTCTCTGACGCTCTGACCTCTCTCGATGCAGCTTGATCTCAGCAGCAACCCTACAGCACCTTGATGAGCCCCTTACCTTGGCTTGCTTCTTGGCCCAGGTCTCTGCCAGCTCAGTTCCTGACTCCACATTCAGGCTTCTCGCTCCCCCATTTGGCTCCAGGTTTGTAATCTCTCTACTTTCTGAAATCAGCATCCTTCTTAGCTGTGCGTGCTGACTGCATCATCGCCTGTGGCTTCTGAGCACCCGGCACACCCTACTTGACGCACAGAATCACACCGTCCTTCGTGGAAAAGGTGAATCTTTCAGCCTCTGTTTTCCGTTTGGCCTTCCTAAGGCCTTGCACAGAAATGATCACACGTCTGTGTTTCTCACCTCTGTGCCTCCGTCCTCGTTTCCTCCCTCACCCTGTGCACGCAGGCTCATCTCCCCCTCACGTGCCGTCCTACGCTCCATCCTTGCCTCCTCGGTCAACAGTCTTGGTCGGTAGTACCACACAGTGGCTCTTTCCGTGCTTTGGCTGCGGTGCCGTCTTCTGCTACCTGATGCCGTTCTTCAAGGTCGTCAAAGGCCTCCTTAAAACTAAGTTGAAAGGACTCTCTGTAGTCTATATCTGAAGCTTTAAACACAGACCATGACTTTCTTGAAATTGTCTGCCTTTTCTGATACTTTTGCTTTCATTTTTTTTCCTTCTAATTCCCTAATTAGTCCTCCCTTTGAGCAATTTTGAGAAATTCTTTCCTGTTCAGCCCCTTAAATGTCAGATTGTCCACTGTGTTGCCCTAAGCAGTTCTCACTTCTCCATTTCTCCAACTATTTTCTCATGTCCTTTCTTCCTGGGTCAGTATTTATTAGGCACATACAGTATTGTGGGTACTGTGCTAGGTACTAAGGAAGGAGATTATGATGAACAAGACAGATACAGTTTCTGTATCATATATCTTAGTTACTAAGGCCCATAAATATTGGCCAAATGACTACACTCCCATGACTTCAGTATCCCTTCTTGCGTAGAACTCCCAAATCTATGACTGCACCTGGCTTGATTATTAAGGAAATTAATAGGTAGGATATCTGAAGTAATAAGTCACTGAGATGACAAAAATATGTGATTATTTTGAATTGTGGCATGTGGTAAAGCAAAAGCCCTGGAAGAATGGTGTCACAGATGATCTGAGTTTCTCATTTAGGCTGTTACCAAATTGCTCTGACTGAACTTTGTTCTCTAAACATTTGCTGTTGAATTAATAAAAAAAACTTAATGGAATAAATGTGTATAACTTTCTTTGTAGTTCAAAATGGAAATGAGTTGACATGACCATATAGTTCATTGTACTGGAGAAATTTCTGGTACATATGTTATCTCAGCATAATATGTGTAACACCTTTCACTTTCAAAATTGTCTCCATTTAGATAGGAGATTATATAACCCTTCTAAAATCATTTTGAAGAAATATTTCTTATTATGCTTACTATTTTTAAAAATTCTAATTTTTTATTTTATTACTTTGTAGTCAAAGATTGTCGGAGTTCAACTATTTCTGGAAGAAGACTCTTTCATTGCTTACTTTTACTAAAAAGGAGCTAACCACTATTAAAAATGAAATATATGATAATTTTCAAGACTGGACTTCACTGAAAGGAGAAGTTTTTCTACAAATTAAATCTATACATGAAGCAGCCTTGACAGGTTTGCTATATATATTTAGAACATAATTGTTATAAATAGTACATCTTAAGTAATGAAATAATGATATCTCATTATATGTGACAGGTATTAGGACTCATCTTTTAGACCTGATATTGGTACAGTAGATGATCATTATGGTCTACTCCTACCCTGAAATTCAATAATCACAGGATAATCTAAGATAAGCTATGATACATCTATTTTGATCTGTAGTCAGAGTCTGGTCATTTGTGTTAAATGTATTCATTTGTATTTAAAAATGTTTCTTCTTCAATGGCTGAGCAGCTTATATTGGATCAGCCTTCCCACAGATAACAATTGTGATTTCTGGACAAAATAACTCCTTAAAACATTAGAGAGTGGCCAAAACCAAGTACATAAAGGAAGGATTTTTTTTTTTTTTTTTTGGTTTTTCTCCGGTACCGGGAACCGAACTCATGACCTTGCGCTTGCCAGGCAGGCGCTTTTGCCACTGAGCTAAATCCCCAGCCCCTATAAGGGAAGGATTGTTAGAACTCGAAAGAGAGCATGTTAATAAATGAAAGGTGCCAATCTGAAAAGGTTATATACTGTATTATTGCAACTACAAACATTCTGGTAAAAGCAAAACTATAGAGCAGTAAAAATACTATTGGTGTCAGATTAGGGGTGAGGAAGGATAAGGGGAACACAGAGGACTTGAGAGAACAGTGAAACCATTCTTGTGACACTTTAATGGTGGCTATATTTCATTATGTACATATCAAAATTCAGAATGTGGAAGTCCAAGAATGAACCCTAATGTGACTATAAATTTTGAGTAATAATAATGTATTAGTGTTGGTTTACTGCTTGGAACAAATAACATAATTCTTGTGCATAATGTCAATAGCAGGAGATACCATGCATACATGAAAGCAGGAGGTGTATAGAAACTCTGCATTTTCTGCTTAGTTTTGCTGTGAACCTAAAACTACTCTAAGAATTATATGGCGTGGGGATGTACCTCAGTGGTACAGCACCCACCTGGCAAGCACAAGGTTGTGAGTTCAATTCCCAGTACCAAAAAAAATTTTAAAAAAGAATAAAAAAATCATTATAAAGATTGAAAGAAGGTCATAAAATTTGATGGGTTCCTTTTTTTATTTTTAAAGGCTATTGGCCTAAGGTCAGGATACAGTTTACACCATACAGTGAAGCAAAACATCTGGTAGAATTATCTATTCATTTTGGCTGAAAGACTAGAGAATAGAGATTGAGACAACCCTAGTCTTTGAGGAAGTGGGGGATGTTTGGGGAAGATATAGCAATAGAAGAAGAGTTCAAATTTTCATATAAAGTCTTTCCAAATCTCTGGTTTACCGCTTATGTAAGCAACTTGCCTACAGCTCAAATAATTGATATTTTAGCTGATACATACCCAGGGGAGATAGATTTTACAGGTTGAATTTGGCCAAATTAACCACTTGTGAAGACAAAACAAAGCAAAGTAATCGGGGCTGGGGATTTAGCTCAGCGGCACAGCACCTGCCTGGCAAGTGCGAGATTGTGAGTTTGATTCCTGGTACTGAAAAAACCCAAAAACCAATAAAATAAAATAAAATAAAATAAAATAAAATAAAATAAAATAAAGAAATCAGTACATTTTTGAAGGAACAGAACAGAATCCGGTCTTCATAATATAACATCTACAGTGTTCAATATACAATCCAAAATTACTTGACCTACAAAGAAATAGAAAATATGGCCTTTACCCCCAAAAAATAGACAGCCAATAGAGACCAACCTCAAATTGTTCCAGACAATAGATGGAAAAGCATAACTTGTTTTATTTCTCTTTGTTTTATTGTGCTTCTCAGATGCAGCATTTTTTACAAATTGAAAGTTGGTGACAATCATGTGTCAAACAGATCTGTCTACACCATTTTCCTAACTACATGTGCTCACTTCAATAAACATAGAGTCCGTGTCACATTTTGGTAATTCTCATAATATTTTTAAAACTTCATTATTATAATCTTACCTGTTACAGTGATCTGTAATCACTGATCTCTGATGTTTCTATGGTAATTGTTTTGGGGCCCCATGAACCATGCCCTTATAAGATGATGAGCTTGAGCAATAAATTTTAAGTGTGTGTTTTGGCTGCTCTACCAATCAACCATTCCTCTGTCTCTTTCTTTCTCTCCTTACACCTTCCTATTTTTGGAGACACAATAATAATATTGAAATTAGGCCAGTTAATATTCCCACAGTTAACTTAAAAATTTTAAATGAAAGAAAGAGTCAAATATCTCTCATTTTAAGTCAAAAGCTAGAAATGCCTAAGCTTAGTGAGAAAGGCTGTCGAAAGCCAAGACAGGTTGGAAGGTCAGACTCTTGTACCAAACAGTTATCCAAGTTGAGAATGTA